TTGTGATGACCATTGTGATGATTTGAGCTGGTTTAGTATATCTGATTCAGAAGTTTCTCGAGTTTCGGAGAGTGATGTTCTTGGTGCTGAAGCTAGCTTGCTCTTCTATGAGAAGGCTTAATCAAGAAGAGATTAAAAAGCATGAGTTTTTGGTTATTCATTGGATTGATTGATTACAGAATTTTTGTGTCTTTTAAGTTTATTTTATTTGAAAATTTAAGAGAAGTTTTAAAAAAGGGTTTATGAATCCCCTTGTATCCAAACACTCCTTTAATAATCACTACAGCCAAACTTATGGTTTTCTAATATAATAAGGAAAATATATGGATCAAATTGAAACCAAATGTTATGGGTTTTCTAATTTACATTTTCAAAACATCCATTCTGGTTTCTTTTCTAATTTACATTTTCAAAACATCCATTCTGATCTGAATAGCCAAAATTAAAAATTGGTAAATTTGTTGATTAGATTGTTAATTTCAAGTAGCCATACTAATAATTTTGTGCAAAAACTCGTTTCCGGATTGAATTAGTGTGAAATTCAATGAAAAACAAAATAATCGGAAACTTGAATGCTAAATTAATGTTGTACGTACAACCAAACTTATGGTTTTCTTTTGTAGCTAACGACGTTTCTTTTGAAAAAAAACTATTGTGGCAGTCCCGTCCTCCTTCCAGTGACCTCCTTCTAAGCACATGACGATCCGCATTTGAAGTATAGTCCTGGTATATTTATTTATTCAGTGTAAAAGAACCACTGGTCTTTATTATTGTCTTGTTGATATTGTTACAAATATTTTTTTCTTAAAAAGTAACACGAACACAAAAATCAAGAGTTACAAATTTTGTTTTCTTGTACTAGCTCTTTATCTGGAACCAGTGCACCATCGTGCTGTTTCGGACCTTGTTGATACATGGTCAAATAAAGTAAAAAAAGCTTTCACCTTAATTAGTTCATCCGAGCATTAAATTGAATTGAGTTCGCACAAGGTCCGCTTCTACATCAATGCTCTCGAAGAAGTTTTATGTTTCTTCCCTATGTTGCTAGAAGAAGAGTTTCATGAGCAGCAACAACATGGAGATGAACCAATTCTTTGTACTCCACTTTTGGAGCAGCAAGCTCGACAACAGCAAACAGACACACAATATCCCTCTAAGAAGCAAATAACACAGATTTTGATTCAGAGGCTATTGCAACAAGCTTACTCTAAGCAACGACAGATGGCTCTTGCACGTCAATATAATCGCCTAAGAGTAGGAGACTGGTTGCCTTATAACCATATATAATTTGGTTGGAATACTCATAACCAAGTTTTTTCAAGGTTCTACATAGTGCACACTCATTTAAAGAGACTTGGATTAGTCTCACATAGACGTAAACATAATACAACCCAACGTTTATAGGAACAAAGATATCAAAATGTAACAGGTTTCGAAGAACAGAAGAAAGACGAACGATCCAACAAGTAAATTCGCAGCTTTTCTCGCGAGAATCGTCGGATTGGGAGAGTTTATAAGCGAAAGGTCGGGAGTTTCTCCACCGGAATGAAGTAAAAATCTCTACTTTTTCCTGGCGATGACGACATTTCGCCGGAGAACTGAGAGCAGATACTTCGATTGAGCCTGTCTTCATAGAGAGTTGGTAAACTAATTAGAAATTGACACATCTGTCAAATATTGATACGGGAGACAAAATTATACGAGTATTGACTTTTTGAGTAGTAAAA